GCAAAACATGAATAGCATAGAATTAAGCTATATTCCAACATATTAATCAACAATTGCTCATGTTTTGACAGTAAAATAAGTATGAAAAACACATTTATCAAGATCCTTAACCCAGCATATGAAGCTGTCACATTAAACAAGCCTCGGCCTGAGGCACCTCCCCAAAGATGAGGCACAACCTAATCCGAGGTTCTTTCAGGCTCGTCCGAAACTCATAAAATCGACGCTGCCTCACAACAGATTCGGAGATCTTTTTGGATTGATTGATGTGACGTCTGCAGTAAAGTGTTTGTAGTTTTAATCAATGTCAGCCTACTACTAGAACGACTGACCTTTAATCAAACATTAAATGTAATAAATGGATAGTGATGTGAAATTTCAGTTTAGGAGATGTCGCCACGTGGACTTGATCCGACGATCATCACGTCGGCTATAATAGTATAAATAGCCACTCTTTGTATAGAAAGAGGGGGACAATTCATGAATGCAAAAGATAGAAAAACACACATTCATACAAACACTTAAACCATTAAAAAGGAGAGAACTCATCTACTCATCATATCTATCCTTCCACATATTTTATTATCATTTTGATTGAAATGAGATCATTGATAGTGTGATTGTCCTCTAATCATATCGTCGGAAACTTAACATTTTTGTCTCTTACCAGAAAGTGCCTCCTACGTTCACTACATTTAGATTACCGTTCTTATCCCGGTAAAAACGTGATGGATCCGTACTTGACGTAGCGAGAGTGGGCACGACATCTGTTGAGTTCATTTTTTGGGTTAACAGATTGGCGCCGTTTGTGGGAAATACCTACATTTAACCACGAATACACATGGGAAGAAAGGCCAGGTGACATTTCTAAAAAGATCGATGGAAGAAAGTGCTTGTCCTTGAAAAAGGAGCATCCTTACAGCAAGAATGACCAAGAACTTAAAACCCTTGAAGAGAGGGATAAAAAGTTGCATACTGAAATAATCAAGAGATGAGTTCCACGGACAAGAATACCCCTAGAAGAACAAGGGAACACCCTGAAGAAGGGAAACCCTCACATGCTGCTCAGGCAGTCCGCCCAAGGCCTCCAATAGGCAAGAGAGGGGGTTCTAGGGGCAGAGGGGGAGTAGCAGCCAGGCTGACTAGGGAAATGGCGACAATGGCAGCCAACATGAGAAATATCACTCAGCAGAACCTAGCTATGCAAGAAATATTGATGAGCATGTAAAGACAAGGAGGCTATCAAACTCACCAATATACAGCCCCGGAAGATGTCTTTCCTGAAGCGCAAGGGTACTATCAGGAGGAAAAAGTACAAAGTCGAATAGCCGAACCTCCATATGCTGGGATGGAGGCTCTTCAAAGGAGAGATGTTGAAATGGACGCCTCGGTTAACCACGCCTCAGAGAGACCATATGAGGCCCCATTCAACCACCATCCAAATTATGAACCAAAAAATCGACCCCAGAGGTCCAGAAGTGTTTTCGACAGGATAAGCTCAAGGGCCTAGAGATAGGCAGGACCGTTCACCCCAAGCACCAAGAAATAGACAAGCTTATTCTCCGTCTCCTCTAACTAGAGGAAGGCAGCAGGAGCCTCATCAACCTGAGGATATGCCGACGTACTACGAAGAACCTTCAAATCTATGAGAGCCTTTAATCCAACCTCCTAGAAATAGGCGGGAAAGGAGAAACCAGGCTAGAAATGAGGCAGGAACCTCTTAGCCACTCCCTCAGGCACCCCAAAAAAAAGATGGAGATTCAGATGGTCCTCAAAGATCTTGTGATTTGGATGACGACGATGACCAGTCTCTCTTCTCAAAAGCCATAAGGAGTGCCCCCATACTGAACCACTTATCACTCCCTAAAATCCCAAAGTACTATGGGAGAGGTAATCGCGCAAAACACATGAACAACTACAAAACTTGTATGAATTTGAAAGGGGCCACTCCAGCAACAAAGTGCAGGGCCTTTCACTTAACATTAAGTGGAGGTGCTGAAGTCTGGTACACGAGACTACCTGAAGGGAGTATCTGAAGTTGGCCAGACATGAAGAAGACATTCTTAAAATGCTTCGCAACCAACAAAGAAGGGGATAGACCTATCCAACGACTTCAGGACATGCGACAGTAACGGGGCGAGGCACTGAAAAGTTTCTTGTCCCGATTTACGGATGAAATAACATACTGCTTGCAAGTCACAGATAGGGAAGCATTAACTACCTTAAGAAGAGGATTGGATATGAACTCCCTCTTTTGGAGAGATGTACAAAACAAAGACCCGGCCGGCTACCTATGACGCCCTATTAGAAATGATA